AGGGGCTACAACCCCTGCAGTTTTCATCCCCCTGTGACTTAACACACACACAGTGTCACCTATGTCATGAGTTTTGCTTTTCAGCAGTTTGAGGTGCAGTTTCTCAGAAACCCCTGCACCTGTCACCTTGAAACTTGGTAGGCTTCATACCCTCAGCAGCAGGTACCAACCCCGCAAGTTTCACCTGAATCAGCCCCAAAACAACAAAGTTATAGATATTTCATTGATTCCCCATTATACCCTATGGCCAAATCACCAAATGTTCTCCGAATCAATTCAGCCGAATTGAATCAGAAAAGCGATTCAGATCTCCGAATCAAATCAGCCAAATCCGAATTGGCCAAATCTGAATTGAATAGTTGCCTGTTCACACAGGCCTACTATGCATGCCATGTTTGTCAGAGTAGAGCTGAATCTCCTTGGCTTTATCTTGCCACAGCCTGTTTTTGATTTCCTGGATCTTCCCCTGAACTTCAGATTATGGAGTTAACATGTCTCCTGCTGAAATGAGGTGCACCTTGCCAAGCGGAATGAGCCCTTTTCTTCCAGCTGAGTTAAGGCTTCAATTTCAGTGTTGCTCTCATCAAACCAGTTTTGGTATTGATGGGTGGCATAGCTAGTGGATTCAGCAGAGGCCTTATGGACAGGGATTTTAAAGCCCTCCCAGAGTGCTTCAGTGTTGCCTCCAGTTGTGGGCAACACAGAAAGCTTTTTGTGAAGACACTGTTGGAGAGCCTTTCAGACCTTGAGGTCTTGAAGAGATTGCTTTTGGCTGTTTTTAGCGTTTCAGAGCAAGCCAGATGTTCATAATGGACCTGACAAGATAGTGATGTATTTAGATGTCATGATCTATTTAGTTCTCTACTCAGCTCCTGCCTCCGTACTCGTATTCACCTTGTAGATGGTTTTATACCATTTTGTAGATTGTAACTTACATTTATTCAGGAATGTGCAGAGGTCCCATGCACACACTGGTAAATTCTGGTTCATCTTGAACTGGAACCTAGAACACCCAGCAGCACTTTGAAGTTGGTTATGCAGCTGCTGGCAATCTCTGTTTTACCATCAGCTTTGCTTTTTCCAACAGACCCTTCCCATGAACCTGTCTACAAGTTGTACGCTTTTGTTTTCCTGGTCTGGTGGGAAGACAGTAATAGTTTGCTAATGTAAACTAACTGATCATCACCAGACATTTACCCTCTTCAGAACAATTTAGGAGTAACATTAACAAAGTAGCTCATTGAATAAGTAGCAATCTGGAGGTAATATGTTAAACCAAGCATATTTTGTTGTTGGAAAGATGAACAGTTTTTTAATTAAGCAGAATTTTCTTTGATGCATTCTTTTAACGTTTATGATGTCCTTTTATACATTTTTGTAGTAATCACAGGGTTTTTATTTCTACTCAGATTTTCTGCTTGCCTGGATTTTTGACCCTAAACCCAGAAACATCAGGCATTTGGCTAGAGATAGGCAAGTTTTTTGACAAACAGGGCAGTCACCACAACTAAACACAAATTCAGTCTGAATCTGGTGAATAGTTTCAGCTGGAGAAAAAAGGAGGGAAATATCAGCTAGAAAGAAGGGGGAAAGTTTAATGTTGCATTTCAACACTTTCTTAATAAAATTATTCTATCTTTGTTTTGAAATTGACCTGTCTTTTGTAAAGGGGGATTAAAAACATGGTTAAATAACCCAAAATAAAATATTTTGACTTCAGTAAATTATTTATAATTGACCTGAAATCAATATTTTCTCCTCAGTTTTTCTACTTGTCTACCAAACCAAAAAAATACTGTTCATACAAGGCATAGGCTTTTAATTCATTACAGTGAAGTAGAGATGAAGAATACAGAAGGGGAACTCACATATATCATCTTTTTGGGATACCAGTGGTAGGGATGTAAATATAGTTTAAAAAAATTGTTTGACCTTCTCTAATTATATAGGTTAAATGATTAATCGACAACACAGTAGCTTGGAGACAGCTGCTGCTGGGACCTATTCTAAGTTCCTGGGACCTTTTCACTGGGAGGAGCAGGGATAGGGGGAGGTGGGCAATTTCAGCTGGCATTGATGAGTCATAGAATCACAGAAGTAGGGTCGGAAGGGACCTCGTTGATCTTCAAGTCCTACCCCCTGCCTGGACAGGAGAAAAAACTGGACTCAAATGATCTCAGCTAGGTAGGCATCAAGCCTCCTCTTAAAGACCCCCATGGTAGGAGCCAGCACCACTTCCTTTGGAAGTTGGTTCCAGATCCTAGCCGCCCTGACTGTGAAGTAGTGCCTTCGAATGTCTAATCTAAACCTACTCTCCAACAACTTGTGGCTGTTATTCCTTGTTATGCCAGGGGGCACTAGGGGAAACAAGGCCTCTCCCAAACCCTTCTGGTCCCCCCTAGTGAGTTTATAGACTGTCACCAGGTCCCCCCTCAGCCTTCTCTTGTGAGTACATAGGCTGCTTGATGTTTTCCTCTTATGCTCTGGGTATTAGTTACCCTTCCTCTCCCTTCCTCCTTGCTCCTCCCTCCTAGCTGCTGTACTGCCTTCTGATTCCTACTGGGGCACCACATGGCTTACCTTCCCCATTTCCCTGCCAGACTGCACCTGGTCAGAGCCAGAGGATAACCAGTAAGCTAACTGATTATTGCTCTGCTTATCGGTTAAATAATTGTTTAACCTTTTATATCCCTAACCAACATTGGAACAGTGGTATAACAGTACTGAAATTTCAGATGAATACTGGTATTTACATTTTCCTCTATATTTGTATGTCTGAAATAACTGGCTTGTTAGAAACTTGATAAAAAAATTAGAAATGTTTTGTATTCTCACAGACTCCCTATTAGAAGAATTTGGGGTTTAAGATGTATTGTTACCTAGTTGCCTCTATTTACAAGCTGATCTAGGAATAGCCAGCCGACACTTGCAGAATTTCATATCTTACTCTGCAAGGTACAATAATTTCTGACAGAGTTTGGCCTTGAAGTAGCAGAGGGCAGTTATTTAATGAACAGATCAGAGGTCTGTGGCTCTGAAAACTGTATTCGATTCCTGTCTTCTCTTCTGACTTCAATTGCTGTATAACCCTGGATACGTCATTTACTTCTGTGTGTCTGATTTCCCATGTTTAAAGTAAAGATATGAGTACCATCTTCCTTCGTAATATGGCTGGAGGTATTAGGGGAAAAACCACTATTTAAGAACTTTGTTTTATTAATAAAGATATTTCTCAGTTGAGAACCCAACCAGAAGATGCAGTTTTATGCCTTAGCTCTCTCTCTCATAAATAGGCTCTGTGCATCCAAGCATTCCAGGTCACTGGGAGGAGCAGAGATTGTATGTTTAAAACAGATACTAGATTAAACAAAAGAAACTGATTAAATGAAGCCTCTGGATTTTGGGACAGGCTAGCTTATGTTCATAATAAATTTTATTGATGAATATCAGATGTGCTACTTTTTATTTTTGACTTCCATAACTTCCAGTTTAGCTATATAAGCAGCATTTAGTGCTGTTTTTATTTGTAAGCAAGTTATGAACTGCAATACAGTGTAGTTGATATTAATCTAAAAAAGCCACTGTATTGTGTATAATACATTTTGCCCATTCAATAAAGAACTAGTAGAAGAAAATATAAGATGAGGGTGGGGGTTAACACCGTTTAGTAAAAGAACTGTTTCTTGTTGTTTTGTTGTTTATTTTATTAATTTTTACTTTTTCCTCCGAGATGGTTTAGAAAAGTGGACATGTCAAATGCATAGTGTGCCAGATTTCAGACTTTATTGGCTAGTTGGCTTGGGCTTTTGTTTATTACCTAGAATTTAACAGAAAGTGACACGAAGCATAGAAATGTAATCAGTTGGGCTATAACAGAGAAACAATGAAGTTAAACACTTCCTTGGCAGTGTGTTGTAGTTTGATCCATTCTGCAAATGTAATTTATTTGTACATCTGTCAATAACTATAAAGCAGTGTCCAATAATGAGGACAGCAGGGATTTAAGCTGGGGTTTATTTTTATGTTTGACTTAAAAGGTCAACCTTTGGAAATGGGACTAAAAATTAACATTTCTTGAGAATTATTTTCCCTTTATTGAGGTTATCTCTTAATTCCAGCAATTTTCTCTGTTTGATAAGCAGACAGAGTATACATTTTGATTATGTAAGGGAGGAAGAAGGTGGTACAACTTTAAAAATTTTAACTGGCATTGCATTCTGCTGATAAGAATGGGAGTTTATGCAGCACAGAAAAGATTACATTTGGTAGAATTGGGAAGCAAATTGTATTTACAAAAGATAGGATGATTTTCCTAATAGGTGTTCAAAACATACCATTCATGCTTGCTTTCTGCTGAGCTTTACTAGAAATAACTTCATTAAAAAAGAACAAATCTGATTGAAAGCAAAAGCATTCACCTCTTACAGATACTTGTCTAAAGGGTTTGCATTAAATTTTGTTGACGGGAGCACACCAATATTTTATGTTGCATCCATATGAGATAGTAAAGTGGAAAATAAAAATATAAATAGTATACTAGATTGCTTCATGCTTCAGCCACTTGAATTACTAGATTTATATCTGCAATTATGGAAGAGATGTTACAGTATGATATTCTGACAATAACTGTCAGAAACACAATGCAAAAATATATGTTCACATTATTCTTGAAGTTAAAGCTACTGAAATCACAGTTGCAAGCCCAGAACATCTCTTCCCTATGGTTATCTTGGTTTTAATAGAACCAAAGTACATTTTTAGCAACCAGTTTGCATGGAACATTATTTATTACAGGACAAAATTGTAAATGTATAATATGTAACATGATTTCTTGCATTTTAATATGGCTGTCTATTGTGAAGTAAATAATAGTATTGTGTTATTGTTGCACTGTTTCTGTTGCTATTGTAACAGCCAATTATAGGTCAACAAGCTATAGAATTACTCAGTTCTGAAAAAATGCTACCTCTAATTCCTTTCTCTTTTTTTACTTTGTACAGATTTTGGAGTTAGTGAAAGGTATGCATTACCAACTGGCCTGTCAGAAATACTTTGAGTTGACTCACGATGTAAGTAAATATTTAATTTTTATCATACAGTGATCAGAATGTCCTTTGTCTGACTTCTAGAAAGGGCCTTGGAAATAATGCATAAAACTCCGGAGCCTCTGCATTTGTCATATGCATAATTGGCTGTTTGGCCTTGTTTTTGTGAATTAATCAGTATATGTACTTAGATGCTTTTATTCCAGGTGTTTTGAATTATTTTTGCATAAAATATTTCATATATATGTGTGTGTGTAATTTGTCTCTAAGATACCACCCTGCTCTGCCTTCTGCCTGAGTTCAAAGTAGCATGGCTAACTATCTCTATAATATTGCTGTATCAAAGAGTGATATGATATGTCAAAACTAAATTATGTTTGCTTCCTGAAAGTGTCAGTACTGTTGTCAAGTAAGCCATTGAATATTCAATATTTAAAAACGTTTTTGAAAGTCTTTGTTTTAATTAATATTTTAAAGAAAAATAAAAGATAAAGGAAGTGGGGACTGGCACTACAACTAATTTCCAAAGAAAATATGTTAAGATTTTTTTACTGTAAGGCATCTCTTAAACACAGGGGTGGTATCATAATTAATTTGTAATGATTAATGATTTAAAGACTTTGTACTTGGTTTTCTTTGTCAGTTTGATTTTTATATTTTATATTTTAATTATATGGTGTTAGTTTTTAAATTAGGAAATAAAATAAACATTTGCAGTTACAGTTTCCCCCTCTTTGCTTAGTTTCCTTCAATAGACACTAGATTATTTTTTAATATGAAGAATATTAGAAGTACCCTTTAAAAAGACTAAGGGGAGATTTTCTTTTTTATGAATGTATGTTGTCCCAATTGCTGTAGTATCTGAGGCAGGGGCAAAATACGGCCCATGGGCCAGATATGACCCACCAGGCCGGGTGCAACCCACCATTTTATCTGGCCCACAGGGCCCCTAAAAAATTTAGAAAATTAACATTTATCTGCCCCTTGCTGCCTGTTAAAGATGACGGGAGCCAGTAGCAGGACCCAGCAGCTGTAGCAGCAAGGCCAGCTCAGCCCTACCCTGCCCCCAACCCCCAGCTGGAAGCCCCTGCATAGCGGAGGCTTCTGGCCCCATCTCCCTGTGCCCAAGAAGGAAATTCAGATAAGAATGTGGTGGGGGAGGGGGAGGAGCAGGAGGCAGGGGAGGACTTAGTGCGATTGCACCAGTCTTCAGGGCCGGGTCAGCTCCTGCTGAGTTTACAGTCCTGGCCATGCAGTTGGGAACCATGTGGTATCAGTGGGCAGGAAAGCAGGGAAATGGTGGTTGAAGGCAGGGGAGTGAGTGGTAGCAAGCAGGCACACAGGAATGTGGGGTCTGCGCCAGTACCCTTGGGCCAATGCCCCGGTGTGGAGCACGGGCTGGCAGGGGCTCTAGGGAGCCAGGCTGGACTGTGCCAGCAGGGAGAGGGGGAGCTAGCCTGGCTCCCTAGAGCCCCTGCCAACCTGGGCCCCATGCTCCTATTGCCTCACGCTGGGCCTCCACCAGCTCTGGCCCTGGCACAGGTCCCTTGCTCCTGACCAGTTATTGCTGTGCTCCTGTGTGTCCCCTTGCTGCCACTCATGCCCCCCCCCCCACACTCCTGCCGCTGCCATTTCCCCACTTTGCTGCCCTCAGCTGCCTGCCCGCCGGCTGCTCCAGAATCACGTGGTTCCCAGTTGCATTGCTGAACTGCAGGACTTGGGAACCCCCACAATTCTTGGCTGGCTCTGTGCGGTGCTGGCTGGGCTAGGCCAGCTCCTGCTGTGTCCTAGGGTCTTGGCCATGCAGCTGGGATGTGGTGCCAGAGCAGCGAATGGGGCAGGAGCTACAAAGCAGCAGGAAGAGGGCAGCGGTGGCAGATGGGAGGGCAAAGTGGTGGCGAGCATGGGGTCCACACCAGTGTCCTAAGGCCAGGAGTGGCAGGAGAGAGTGTGTGAGAGGGACACTGCCACACACGGACACCCCACACACCCAATCAGCCTCCCCAGCACCCTCCCCCACTCACAGGCCCCCACAAACCCCATACCCACCCACACCCCATGTATTCATACACACTTGCACATGCTCCCTCATGCCAGACACACCCACACCCCCTAACCCCATTGTGGCAGGGCGCAAGTTCAGGGCCGGGTCTTAAACTCGACCCTCCCACCTGTCTGTATGGGGCAGTCTGCCCAGTCTCACCTCCCACTACTTGCTGGTTTAATAAATTGGTGTTCTAAATGGGAGGCTACCCATTATAATGCCCTGATGACAGGAGGCACTATCCACAGATCCATACTGTCTGTACACTGTGGCCCATGTCTGTGGGCTTAAGGCCAGGCCAGACTCAGTATGTTGTTAGGCCTCTTACATACTGCCCCATTCAGGGCCACACTCACGCCACCCCCTTGCACTGGGGCCTCTGAAACACTGCCCACTCTCACCAGGCCTCTCTTATGCTGCCCTGTTTCTGGACCACATACGCCCTTCCCTGCTCCCTCTGAGTGACCACATAGGCCATCAGGCTTAACTCTCCACTCCTTGGCCAGCCCTGGCGCAGTCTTTTGGGTCTCTCCCATGACCCTTATCTGCAGCGTGGCTGGGCAGTTTACCAAAGTCTGGACTGAATCTGCCTCTAGCTCCTCACCAGACCACTCCACTCCTTCCCTGGGCCAACACTCTGCCCCTACACTGGGGCCCCAGGGTCATACAACCGTGTAGTCTCAAGTGCCTCTCTTGTCACAGGCCAGTTGGGCACTGTGAGTGTATCAATTTAGTTGCAGGCTGACTGAGTGCTGTAATTGTATCAGCCACTGGGCTGTTTGGTTCAGGATTGAGGAGGTTGAGTTGAAAGTGAAGGAAAGACAAGTTTTACTTATAACAGTAAAAATAAATTTTACCTATAACAGCAAAATAACAACAATAAATATGTTTAAGCAGCAAAAAATATAGTTTGCACGTATAACAGTTAATAGAAATGTTAAGCTAATAAACAGACATAACAATAAAAGTTAAAAATTGGCAGTGATAATAAAAACAGACAACCAATTGACAAAGAGTTTCCACTTGGTTAGCAACTTATCGATAGTCCCTCAGTGTTAGGTACACGTCAAGTTGATCCAGTGAAGTCAGGCGTCCCCGATCCACACTGTTGGAGGGAGCACCGGGGAGGGTTCCTTAGTCAGGATCTGGTCCTCGCTCACTGGGAGTCTGGAGTCCGGGCTTAGAACAGCAATGACCATTCTGTTCTGTCCTTCCTACTGGTCACCTAACGTGCATGTTCCTTGATATCCTGTCCTATGCTAATCCGTTGGCTTTAGAGCCACTCACTATCTTACCTTACAGCTGTTACCCTATGGGGTTAAAAGGTGTTAGAAATGATTATAATAGGTTACTGCCTAAGCTTGGGTTTACCCAATAAGCAAATCACACCACATCACTTTGGGGTCTGAGATTAGCATTTTTCCTGCCCAAGTTCAACCTACTTAGAATTTTTTTGAAATGTGTTAATTATACCTTGTGGTTAGGTTTGTCAGTCTTACTGACCTTTAAGCAAAAATTTATTAAATCAGCTAAGCTTGCAGTTTTATTTTTTAGTTCTGCTTTTTGAAACTCATGTTAGTCATATGATCAGTACAAACAGTTAAATATAACGTTATGCTTATGCTTCTGACAGACAGGATGTGTCTGCGGGAAACAGTTTCATAAGCTTTGTCCTAGCCAATATTTATTATGTGCTTTTACCAGATACTCAAAAAGCAGATCCTTTTTTTGCTATGAGTTGCTCATTAACCCTTTTGGTTCTGGCCATCACACTCTCTCTAGGTGTGCCTGGCTTCAGTTCTGCCCTCTCACTAGGGCCTGCCATCTTGCACCCTCTTTGGGTTCAGGTACTTCTCTGTAAGTGTGCCTGGCTCCAGCTCCTGGGTCTTACACCCCTATGGGCTCAGGTGCCTCTCACCCCTGCCCTCACAATAACGGACCAGGTGGTGGGGGCTGGAGTTAAGGTGCCCCTAACTGCCTTTCACCAGGGAAGTAACTGGCTTTACATTTCTTGAGGACTCCCTCGCCAAAGGGAGTCCTACCAGGCTACCCTTCCCCAGCAGGGTGCAGTTTCAGGTCATGCCCTGGACCAGGAGCCTCCTGCCACCTCAGTTCCTGCTCTTACCTCCAAGATGTTCCTGAGCAGCAGCTCAGCCGGAAGTTATTACTTCTTTGACTGCTTGCAGCAAACTGCTGCCCGTGCCCTGTTTGCCTAGACTTAAATGGCGGCCTAATCCGAGCTGTCTTGCACCTGTCAGCTGCCTGCTCCTAGCCTTAAAGTGGCAGGCACCCAAAAATGCCTTGCCACACCCATACAGACCCACACCTATCCACCTTCCACACACCCATATCTTCCCCCACACCCCGCTTACCCACGCACTTATAACGCTTAACAAACCTATACCCATCCCCTACGCAAACCCCCACCCCGCCATAATATACAAGAGTAAGACGTCATTTTAAGGTATTATACAATCACCTCCATGTACACTATGCAAACACAAGTAAATCAGGACAAAAATGTTTTTGGCAATCAAATTAATGGATGTTATAGTTAGTAAATATTTGATTTTTTTAAGAATATAATTAGACATTTTTCTGATTTGGAGATGACAAACCCCCTTGCTGAAAGGAATACTTTTGGTGACAAAGGGTGGGACTTCTGGTAGCAAAGGTCAGGGGTTAAGGGGTGGGACTTCTGTGTCCGAGATGGTGACTGGGGGGTGGGGCACCTGTCAACATCTTGTCAAACCTCGGTAACAACCCCCAGCCAAAATAATTGCCTGCCCCTGATCTGAGGACTTGAACCCTTCAGTATGTTAATCCTCACAATTCCTCTGAGCGGTGAGTAAGTATTATTATAATTCAGTCTAAAAGTGGCCCAGAGATGACAAGTGTTTCACCCAAGATAATATATTAAAGTTGATGCTGAGTAACGGCTTGCCTTCTAGATCTGTCAGATCCAACACCAGTCCCTAAC